TGTGGATCCCACACCTTACTTTGAGGCTGCTCTTCAGAAGAAAAGGCTGGCTGGTATTCCTAGACCTCCATCCCCACTGAAGAAAGGATCTAAGAAAAAGAAAGCTCTAAGCTTTAAAGAATGGAGAATGGGAGGTTCTCAGGTGATGACTGCTACACAATTTGATGAAATGAAGCAGAAGATGACCTCTACTCAACAACAGAATCTATATTTGGACCATGATGGTCAAGTGAAGGTCAGACATGGTGGATCTCTGGAGGAAGCAGAATTCTGGTTTCACAACAGTATAGTACCAGGAAAAGATATCCATGAAGGTGTTCTTAACTACTTAGACTGCAAACTCTCACCTGTCTGGGCCTCTTACCAAAGAACTGGAAATCTGGCTGGAATCAGAAAAGAGGTGAATGCTGAACTAAAAAGACTACAAGGACTGGATGAACAAGCAAGAGCTGAAGCAGCCAAGGCTATTATGTAATCAGACAATCTTGTAATCCACCTTAATAAAAAGAACATCTCTGCCTCACATTTTGTAAGGCAATTCCTCAATCTCTGGCTTTTCCGTACTTTCTGTTTGTCTGTTTGTTTGTTTGTTTGTTTGCTTTGTGATATTTTATCTGCTATCTGAATGTATCGTACTCTTACTATTTTCCTATGCCAAGTTGTCCACCAAGATTTTAATGAAAAGTTTTAAACTTTAAATTGTTATGGTGAAGGCACTTCTCTGGAAATAGTTAAAGGGTTTTGGCATCATCAAAAAGGGGGAAATTGTAAGGAATAATTGTATTTAGATTTTGATGATGCTATATTAACTAGGACTGTAGAGTACCCCTTTAGAAATTATGTATTAGAATTTTCCCTTGTAAAGTTCTTAGCATATTCGACTACCAGAAGGCCTCTCTACCAGAAGTCCTCCAGACAGAAGATCTTGGTTCTCTGTCTAGGAACAGGAAACGTCAGGGTCTCTGTTACCCTTTAGCGTGACAGAAACCCTCCTAATTCTCTGTAAGCTTTCAACAACAGAAAGTGCTCATGATCTTCTCTGGTTCAGTTCTCTGCCAATGACACCAAAAGGTCTGACACTTGGAAGAAATCCACGAAGCCGGGAAGTCAACTTGAAAGATTCCTTCAACGGTTAGGAGTATGAAACGGAAAAGCTACAGTGCTCGCATTAAATGCTCATTTAATGCTCCCCATGCTCCTTGGAGTAATTGCAGATGATTGGCCGCAATGTCAGGATTACTTTATTCCGAAATAGTAACCCGCCAACTTTACCGGGTCCTACTGGTCAAGTCAACTGCTCGCACATTAAATGCAGTTGTCCTCCTACTCCTCCAACGGGAAGACAACCTCAGTATAAAAGATACACTACGAAGAACAACCGGATAACTTTGCCATAACTTTGCTATCACATTGCTAACCAAGCAAGATATTCAAACTCTGAAAAGCAAAAGCCTCCTTGAGATTCAAACTCATTATCCTCTACAAGAGAAGGCAGAAGTTGGAAAAATACTCTTTCCAACTCAAGCAAAGTTTCAAGTGTTCTTCAACTCTTCAAGCTCCTCACATACACATATTTTGTAACGAAGCTAGTTGGAGGAACCTCAGTTTCAACAGAAACTCTTCTTGCTACAAGAAGGACGTCCTAATAACTGGAGTAGTGAAGTGGTGATACTTCAAGGAGACTCAGTGAAAGGACCAGTGTTAAAGGAAGCCAGGCAGTGCATCCCAGAACACATCTAGACTTGAAGAAGACGTGGAGTGCTTCTTAAGTGCTATGACTAAGGCTTTGTAAACGGCAGGTTTTACAGCTTAGTGGATCAGTGGATTAGAGGAACGAGTTGTTCCTTGAACCACTATAAAAATCCCTGGTGTCGTTTACTTACTGCTTTTAATACGTGCAATTAGATAGAACTGTATAACTCCTTGAACTTGGTATCTGTGTTCAGCAGAACTGGTTCTACGAGTTAACAGAAGGCCTTCTGCCTTTGCTTCTCTGAGGCTAACAGAACTCCCTGCCAGAACCCCACCCGCTGCCAGTCTGTTCTTTCAGAACAGGCTATTCTGAAAATCTGGTACTTAGTTTAAAAAGCTAAAAACCAATACAGTCTATTCACCCCCCCTCTAGACTGTATCCAGTATAACCGGGACCAACAAGTGGTATCAGAGCCAAGGTCACGGGTTCGACCCCCGGCAACAGCATGCTGCGTAGTTGTAGGCTGGCAGGTGCTGGGGGGGAGATTGTTGGGCCGCGGGTATGCGGTGCCAGCAACAGCCAGCCTGCCGGTGCAATCGGACCGCGTGGCGCTTCGCTTGTGCTATAAAGGGGGAGGAGCGTGCTTCACTATCAGCAATTGCTTTTGGTGTAGCGGTAAGCGCAACGATCCACAAAATTGCATTAAATGGTCAATTTGAGGCATATTTTGAGTGGCGTCCACTTCCGATTTGGGTCGGGTCAAAGTGGGATTTATCCCATACCGGAAAACCCAAGGGATTTTCACCCCTTATGAAGGGAACACTCTTTGAAGGAGTTAAGATTCTTAGGTGGAAAGACTCTCTTCACTCATAGGGGGTGCCGATCAAATCCCGAAAACAGAGAAGAAAACCCGCGAATTGCGTGCGCGGGCAACCTGCGGACATGAATGTCATCCGAAAATGTATCATTCAAAGATACGACTTAATTTTTTCTTCTTCCCGTTACGTTTGCAGTTTTCCAAAACCGCAAATGGAACCCTTCTGTTTTGTGTTCTGCACGAACCACAGAGCAGTTCTGGTGGCTTCAGAACCAACATTCTTCTCTTTTAATACGTCTTTAAACGGACAATTTTCGACATATTAATGTCCAACGTGCTGGCCATTTATATCCAACGTTCAGGTCCATTAAAGCTCAGTTAACACACCACAAATATGTCCCTATATATACCTTACAGGTGTTTTGCAACAACACATCCCACAGCACAGTTAACACATACGTTTTAAGCTAAAACACACCTCTAGTATCCCCAAAAATTCCTAAGTGCTCACATTTTGTTCCCGTTCGCCGGAATTTTCGTTTGTGTGCTAAAACGATCGTTCGTTAGACACCGTATCCTGGGAAACGGTCGTTGCAACGCTCCTACCACCGTGGGAGGCGACGAATACATTTTAAAGACATCGTGCGTAACACGAGCTCTGACTAATTTCTGTCCCATCTATTTTTCATTTTTCTTTGTCTATTTTATTTATTACTTAATATTATTTAATTAATATTTCTTCGTTTTTCCGAATTACACCCAACAATATTGTCAACTAATGACTGATGTAAGGATGAGTGATGCGGGAGAAGGCAGTTGCTTCAAGCCAATCCATTGGAGTTAGCCGGAACAAGGGAACACAGAAGGGAAGTAGCCGGAACTCGCGTGAGAGGAAAAATTTCCCCAATTACATTTCCGGTGTGTGGAGTTGAAAGATTTTCTTCAACTACGCTGTTTTTGTCTTTTACCAATATATTAACTTAAATATCACTTTTTTACCAAACACTTCAACTATTACATTTGTTGGGGTATATTACCCCGTCCTACAACTGTTCAGAGGCCCAAGATACCACCCGACACGAGACCCAATCACCGAGGCTCATTTAGGCCAACTCGGCCCATTTAGAGCCGTTTAGGCCCACACGGGCTACTTAGGCCACTTAGATTAGAGGGATCCCCCCTCCTATAAATAAATGATCATTTTCGGCTCTTCTCTCATGGGAGGATTTTCTTCCTCCCTGTTTCTTCCTTTCTTTAGAAGTAGGATCAACCTCCATTAATGGAGCTCAAAGCTTGTACTATGTAAATGGTGAGGAGGGTATTAATGAGAAAGAACGAACTTGGAAGTTAGTCTAAAAAGTCCTATGATTTCCCCCCTTTCCGGGTTTTCACGTAAAAACAAAGCATTTCATACATATTATATCTATATCTTAAATTCAACAACAATTAAAATAAAATCACTTCTATTTTCAAACACTACCTACTTTTATTAAAAATCACATTCTCAAATAATCTCTTACCCAAATCACTTTTGAAAAGCAGTTGCAAACTCAAACACATAGCCTAAAGTGAATGAAAGATGGATTCGTATATGGTACAGCCGGCTGTACGGTGTCGACCGTACAGCTGGTGGCAAACATGTAATTATGGTGAAAATCACAGATCCTCTTAAATGAGCATTAAATCAATTTTGATGAGTACCGAACCTGTTCTTTTGAGTATTAGGATCCTAACGATGAGCATTAGTGATATCTGCTTCATTCCTCATGTATCACATTTTGTTTATTATTTTTTCGTTTATTAAAAAGTTTTAGTCCAAAACGAGCATACATAACTTACAAATTAGTATCGAATAATTAAAAAGTTCATTTGTGTGTGCTCATTCATTTTGGGCGTTATACTCATTTGAGTTTAACATAAAACTCATTTCTAATGTGTTCAATATTCATTTGTATATGTTCATTTAAAATGAGTATTACACTAATATCAAATGAGTATACATAAATTACAAAATGAGCATTCATAAAACTCATTTGAAATGTCTACTATGCTCATAATTTCATTTATTATGCTCACATCTGAAGAATTACGTATAACTTAGATTTCTCTAACCTGTGGCCACCAAACTTAAGTAAGAAAAAGAGAAAAAAGAAAAATCCAAAACAAGAAAGAGGGAGAAGAAACAACTAGGGCTATACACCAGGTGCTGCGCAGGAGTCGCCGCTGAAGTCGGAGTTTGAGGTGATGCGCTCGTGCTGGAGAGTTGCGACTGTTGAGAACCGTCATCTGTGTTGGCGGCGAGCGAAGGACGAGCATCGAGAACGATCTGCGATGGAAGCCTGCGAACTACGAAGAAGACCTGCGGCCTGCGATTTGGGAATTAAAAATCCGGCTGTACGGTGCGCATAATATAGCCGGTTGTACTATGGAATTTACCATGAAAGATGGGATAAAAATGAATCACGAAGACCGAAGAGTCCAAATCTAAAAAAAAATTGACTTCAAAACGTTGCCGCCCAGTGCGCTTTCTCTCCCTACAAAATTCAAATCTCGCAGTAACTGTAAAATCTCATTGTTCAAATGATTCTGATCAGAACCCCCATCTCTACTCACAAGCACAAGAAGTAGGGAGAAGGAAGTATTGCCAAGTTTTGCAACCCTATCTTAGTTTTTTTTTTGACAAAGGATGAATCAGTACCATATCAACGCAGAAAGGATGAACCAGTATCATATCTATGAAGCCATTGGCCACGGCAAGCACTCGGTAAGGATATTTCCTTCTTCTTCCGTTTATATTCTGCATATCCGAGCTAAAGTTAGTCACTTTCACATCTTCCGGAAGGAGAGCTTTCCGCTCATTCCCAACTGTTTGGTTTATGCCTAGCTAATAGCTTCTATAATTCCTAAGTAAAGATCGGCCTCGCAAAAGATTTTACGGGAGACTTTGGATTCAAAATCCAAAATCATGCATGTAGCTTGAGAGGATGGCAAATGTATGTTTTATTGGAGCGTCAATGTATGAGTACAATTATGGAAGCAAAACATTTTGCTATGGGAAAAATTACTTTTACTTTCGTGTTCAGAATCTCGGCACTAAATTATGTCAGAAACTAGTACTAGTATAGGATACAGAGTACATAGTATGAACGGTGGGTTTGATCGAATTGTTTCCGTGAGATTTTCAGCAAGGATTTTCGTGATGCTATTGAGCGATGTGCTTTAAATAGATTTTAATAAAGTAACCTGTGACCAAAGTGAAAGTATGTGCATTTAACTGGCACAGACTGTATACAAAGGAAGGAAGAAGAAGACCATCGAGTATTTCGCAATCAAAAGTGTGGATAAATCCCAGAAAACCAAGGTTCTTCAAGAAGTGAGTAATCTTTCAAAGCATCGGCCTTTACTATTGGTTAAGCATTTACTTCTTTTAATTTTCAGGTCTTATGTACGATTGAATTTCCTGAATGTGCTTTTAGCCAATTTTAGTAAATATTATAATACTACTCGCACCTTCTAATTTATTAATCCCTCCGTCCCACTAACAATTGCACAAGAGGGAGTGACACACAAATCAATAAAAAGTGGTTTATGTGGTTGATATTGAATTGATAAAGTAAGAATAAAGTAAAAATGATTTAGAGCCACACAAACTTTACCAAATTTAGGATGAACCGAAAAGGTAAAATGGGACAATCTTAGCGGGTCGGAGGGAGTACAACTTTACTCAAGGCTCACTTTACGCAAGTCATATTCTTAAATGATACTCCCTCCATCCCATAATGAACTTCAAAGTTTGACTTACACACATATTAAGGAAATAAACTTACCATAGAGGTAAATTTTATTGTTTTGACACCGTTTCGACATTGTTTTGCACTGTTTTGCACTGTTTTGACACTGTTTGGCACTGTTTTGCACTATTTGACACTGTTTTGATGTAGATTAATTTGCCATTTAAGGAAATGAGAACTTGTTTCTGGGACATACAAAAAAGGAAAGTGGGAAGCTCATTGCGGTATGGAGGGAGTATGTATTTGTTTATGTTTACCACCGATATATATATATATATATATATATATATATATATATATATATATATATATATATATATATATGATCAACTAGTCATGGATGGTTCCAAATAAGCTTCAGATAAAATTGGTCAAAACAAGAAGATGCAAATAACACCATTCCATAAAAAGGAGTTTTCATTGAAACTTCACGAATCCATTGCTCGTATTTTTTCCATTGGTATTTGTAAACTTGTAGTTGTTGTCTAGAAAAATATTGCTTTGGATCATCGTTGGTGATATCCACTATTTTATTTTATTAGAACTGGAAAGGAGATTAGCTTATGGTTTAGCTATGAGAATATGAGATGAAGTTATTTATAATACAATTTCTAATTTTAGTAAAAATGTGTGGCAATAAATGCATTTGGAAAGTTTTGCATGGCTTATAATTTTGGATCATCGTTGTTGACCTGTTGTCACACACCCTATGAAACAGTTTCTGGAACTTTGCAATTTAGGAGGTACCAAGCAAATACCATATTTAGTTGCAGTTCGAGTAAATGTTGTTTTGGATCATCGTTGTTGACTTGTTGTCACACACTAATGACACTATTTGTACTTTATCAGCACTCAGCAGCTATGTACATGGTTTAGCAATGGGATAGACTTGGTTAACAAAATTTGCACTGTCTGCCTCCTTAACATCTTACTGTTTGATGTGTGCTGAGTGTTGACATTTTGACAATGTTAAAGTAATACTGACACAAATAAGTTCATTGACAACCTGTATTCATATCTTACTTTTCACTGAGAACATAAGGAGATCAAATCTTTTTTTTTGCCTTCATCTTGCACACTTCAAATGTGTTAATGTGGTTTTTCTTTCTAAGTATAGGGTAGAGTTCTCCATTCCCTTGATCATCCAAACGTTCTGAAGTTTTACTCGTGGTAAGATTTTTTTCAAGTCTTATCTTAGTTCTATGTTTTGCATCATTTGCAATGGAGCCAAAAATTCATTATTTTTTGGCTTGAGATTATGATGGAATAAAGCAAAATGGCTCACTAAACTGTCTGCGCTTCTTTGTTATGGAGCAACAGTCAGTCCATGCAATTTTGGACGCGATTTTCACTATGGGTCATCCGGAAACAGTCTCTCTGTGCTTTAGTACAGGGGTAAGACTGCGTACATCCGACCCCCCTTACCCCACCGTAGGTGGGAGCCTTTGCGGCATTGGGGTAAATGAAAATGAAATGAAAATGATCTTAGTTCTATGTTTATTATTTTCATATTGGAAGTCAGAGAGGCATTTCGCTTTTTTACTCATTCATTTAATTGATTCATAGGTATGAAACATCTGCTCACTTATGGTTGGTGCTAGAGTATTGTGTTGGTGGAAATCTCATGACCTTATTACAGCAGGTAATTTAGATACGGTTGTATATATTTAATACCTCAGTCTTCCAACTGGTGATTCTATTGGTTTATTTTGATCTTTATGAATGTTTAGATGCATTGCAACTTACAAAATGCCCATTGGATTACTTTTTCCACTATGACTAATAAAAGAATCTCAATGCATTTCTGGGTTGTACTGTTTGATTAGGAAAGTTCTACATTCTATTGTGTAGTTACTAGTTCCTAATTCTAGTAATGCTTAATCCTAAAATTGTACACCTAATAATTATGTGGTGGCATATTTCTTGGTAATATTTAGTACTCAATGCTTTTATGCTAGCTAGTACTCTAGCAGCTAGTTCATGCTTGATTATTTTCACAAATGAGCGATTACATATCATTATCTTTTTGAGAATATATAAGGCCATTGAGTAATCATTGATCCATCGGAAGCTTGCATCGGTTTGAATCAGTGGCGGAACCAGGACTCGTGACTCGCAGGGGCACAATAACAAAGAAATGATATACTAGTCTAGAAAAAAATCATATGCATCACGAGTATAGCAATAAACAAAACTATAAAATTTAAATAAAACCACTGTTTTTGGAATGATCTGTTGCACCCATTAAATCACTTTGTGAAAATTTAAAGTCACGCGGTTGGCAAGGACCTTTTCTCAAATAACGTCTCCTCAACTCATCTCTAATATTAACATCATAAGTCTCAATCGGCATAACTTTTCTGTCCAGCACTTTTCTGTCCGAACACCGTCCGAACACCGGTGTTTGGGGCGGTTCACGGCGGAATATTTTGATGAAAATTTTTGAGCATGTTCCTCATCAAGTCTAGTTTATCCATACCAAACGTAAGCTCAAAATTCGCTCGGGAAGGCAGTCAAATAATTCGTTGAAGTTAACTGCGCCAAATTATACATAGAAAAACGCAGTTAAGTTCAACGAATTATTTGACTGCCTTCCCGGTCGAATTTTGACCTGAAATTTGGTATGGATAAACTAGACTTGATGAGAAACATGCTCACAAAATTTCATCAAAAAATTCCACCCGGAACCGCCCCAAACGGCGGTGTTCGGACCGGGAGGTGCTGGACCTGAGAATTTTCCAATATATATATATATATATATATATATATATATAAATAAAAATCACCGCAGGGGCACGGGCACCCCCTAGCCCTAGGGTGGGTCCGCCCCTGGTTTGAATCATACGTCTCATAGAACTTAGAATCATAGGCACAAACCCAATAAAATTTCGTATGCATTCCTTACTGACATTGTATCTTCTCCAAAGAATGACATACCTGCAACATTGGTCACTGAGTGCAGGACACTAAGCTTCCAGAAGATTCAATACATGATCTTGCTTGTGGTCTTGTAAGAGCTTTGCAGTAAGTAAATCTAGTAGCTAAACCCCTATAAAATTGATCCTTTTGTTGGTAACTTGGTACATGCACTTCAATGTTGACCTTCTTGCCAGGTTTTTACATTCAAAGGGAATATTATACTGTGATTTAAAACCATCAAACATTCTATTGGATGCAAATGGACTCACAAAGGTATTATGCCACAGTTGGTGTCTTTTTTGCTCGTCACTTTTTTCCTCGACATACTAATTTTCTCGTGATTGCAGTTGTGTGATTTTGGATTATCAAGAAAGTTAAATGATATTTCAAGAACTCAATCGCAGGTATACTCATGCCACCATTAAAACATTTTTTGAATAGTTCTTAATTTGGATAAATGACGTTACATATGTGTCCCTTTCAGATGCATATTGTTTAATGAATCCCTGACTCTCTGCATATGTTGTGTTGCTACTTCTTAATATACCTTGTTAGTTACCGCAAGCAAAGCGTGGGACACCATGTTACATGGCTCCAGAGCTGTTCCAGGATGGAGGAGTCCATTCTTATTCTTCTGATTTGTGGGCTCTAGGTTGTGTGATGTATGAGTGCTATGCAGGGAGACCACCATTTGTCGGAAAAGAATTCACTCAGTTAGTGAAATCAATACTTGCAGATCCAATTCCTGCTCTGCCTGGTACTCCAAGCCGCCCTTTTGTGAATTTGATCAATTCTCTGTTAATCAAGGATCCAGCTGAAAGAATTCCGTGGTCTGAACTTTGTGAGCATGCATTCTGGAGAGCAAAATTTTCTCTGGTCTCATTACCTCCGCAGCCTGCTTTTGATAATTTGGTTGAGCTTTCTTCTAGACCACACCTTTCAGAACGAAACAGTGAAAAACCTCCTCACAACAAGACTCCCCAAAAAGCACGTGATAGAGATCCCAAAGGGATTCACAGGCATGACGAGAACTCAAACACTGAGTCTAAAGGTCCTGACACACCTAATAGAGGCATTTCCAGTACAAGAAAACCTCAACACAAAGCTTCTGGAAGAAATATTGACAACAAGCACAAGGATACATCAAATAACACTAGGGAGGTCAATCTACTACGACTGTCAAGAATTGCAAAGTCGAATTTAAGGAGGGAAAATGAGAAGGAGAACTACAGGAGGCCATTACCAAATAGTTCTGAGAATGATGCAGAAGTTAAAATTGAAAATAATGATATGGAACTTGATTTTAGTGAGAACACAGAGGATGAGACAAATGATGAACCTGATGACACTGAAGGCATGAAATGCACCACAGAATCCACCGTGTCACCTTCGAATGAGCAACAAGAAAAAGTGGAAGGGACGGATGATGCCAATTCAGGATTATCAGCTATGGTTAAAACGCCTTTCTCAGATGACTCAAGAAATCTTGACCTGGAACCGTCTTCAGAACACTCTTATCATTCTGCAACTTTACCCAGTGACGATCCTCAGCAAAAAACTCCTAGAATTAAAGATGGTACTAGTTCTGATGCCGATGCACCAAAATCATCAACAAGCCTCTCACAGGTTTTCTGGCATCCTTCTGACCTTTCAGTCAGACCTGTTATGCCGAGTAGAAAATCAGACAAAGTGTCAGGAACAACTCCGTCACTTCCATTTGATCCACTTCTGGCATCTGATTTTGTCAAAATGTCAAAAGAGCAATCAGACCTGATTAACAGGATCATAAGTATTATCACCGGGAACACTTCTACAGGAGAAAAACAAAATGTTATTAAGTACCTTGAGATGCTAAGTAGCAATGTAGATGCAGCAAACATCTTGACCAATGGCCCTATAATGCTAGTACTGGTTAAAATGCTAAGACAATCTAAAGCCTCTCTTCTGCATGCTCAACTTGCTTCACTTATCGGTTTGTTGATCCGTCGTTCTACTTTTATTGGAGATGAGTTGTCTAATTCTGGAATCCTAGGTGCTTTAACTGATGGCCTCAGAGACAGACAAGACAAAGTAAGAAGGTTTTCCATGGCTGCATTGGGTGAATTGCTATTTTATATTTCTACTCAGGATGAGCATGCTAGAGATAATAGTGCCTTGGAATCTCCATCTAAGGATAACAGGGTTTCGTCTGCTTGGCAGGTTAGTTTTAATTCCTTCGATAAACTTGGTTCAGTGACTCCAATTAGATTTTTTTCCTATCATTGAGTTTCCTTTATCGGCTTTCTGTTTTTAAATCTATTCATTCATATGGAATCATCTACTGAAATGCAAAACAGAAAGGAAGGGGACCAAGAGCCAAAATTAATTTGCGCAAATGTTCTAGAAATAGATAGGCGCTAGTCGGACAGTATCTTGGTGCTGCCTAGGCATCTCTTGTTATCATTACTCTATTTTATAAATTAATTTGTTGTGTTATTTATCAACAATTTTTGCCTAGTGCCTAGATGCTTAACTGCCAGCTAGGCCTCCCTCTTTATTGTTGTTATATTTTATAGTTGATTTGCTGTTTTCTTTATTAAGGACTTCCTTAGCAATGAAAATAGCTCATATACATAACAAATCTAATTTTTTTTCTGTATAAGCAACTACATCAGCACTCTAATCTCAAGTATTTGGGTTTAGTTGCATGAGATTTATAGTGCGAATTAATCAATTCATGAGAAAACCATAGTGACTAAGTTTTGCACTGTAATCCCTTCCTGTTTGAACCTTATGAAGAAAGCAACAACGAATAATGAAATGAAAATATGAAATTCCAAAATCATCATCATAGGTTATTTCCACCTGCATGGAAATTTTCACGAAACAGCAATGTTTTATTAACAAAATGAAGAAACATACGTAGAAGTAGAGATAGAAGAACATGACAACAGGCAACAGAAACACACTAAGTTATCCCCTGTCGATATACTTTGCTCAACAGGCAACAGCATAGCGGCCTAGGTCTGCCCACTGGGAGTTCATATTTCTTATATTTCATTACCTCCTATGTGGAAGGAAACCCTATTTATATTCCGTCATTGTGTTATAAGGTAAATAATAAATTGATTGAAAAGTTATTGGAATGATATTTGTAAGTTCGATTTCTAGAATAAAGTTCAAAATCTGCTGATTTTCCTTGGTTTCATTCGCCTCTGTCAGTTTCTTTTTTATGCCTTCTATAATTGTGAATGCAGTCCTTGCAACAATCCTCCTTCACCCTGTTCTTGACCCTTCACTTAATCAGATTTGAACTTCAATTGTTTATTAGATCGGTATTACAATTAGTGGGTGGTAATACATACTTGCAGACTGTTGAATTCCTTCATATTCCTTTTGTATTAATACTTTTGTAAAAGAATAAAAGTATGTCATTAAGTTTGATCAGTATGTTGTACCAATCCACATAGAGGATTTGAGAATATCAAATATGATTGACTGGGCAATGAGGAAAAATGAACATTCAGCTCTATATGCAGTATAGTCTAGTCTTTCCGTTACACTGGTGCTCTCATTGTCCTTTCAACAGAATATTGATGGTTTTTATGGTATTCAAGAGGTTAACTCATCCTTCCATTTTGTACTTTCACAGTTCACTGACTCACATGCCCTGGATGAATTTTGTGTTCTATATGTTTCTTCTTTCAGGTGACAAATTCAATAATTTCCCTAGTGTCATCAGTTTTACGAAATGGAGAGGATGATATGACTCAACTATACGCACTACGGACCATTGAAAATATTTCCAGCCAAGGAGGTCACTGGTCTGCTCGTTTCACAAGTCAGGCTGTACTCATTAACCTCTGTCATATTTTTAGGGCTCCAAGTAAACAAGAGATGATGAAACTAACGGCAGGATCTTGTTTGGTTCGTCTTGTCCGTTTCAGCCCTTCCTGCATTCAACGGGTTTTGGATAAACTTCCATTGAAGGATATTTCATCAATCTTAGTTAAGGGTAGTCAACGTGAGCAGCAAATATGCTTGAATCTTTTGAACATGGCGCTTTCTGAAAGTCACATGCCTGCAAATATTGGACGATATCTTCCTCCCTTGTTGGAAGATAAGAACCTTGTCCCACACCTCATCAGTCTTATCGAGCAGGGAGGTGAAGTTTTGAAGGGGAAGGCTCTTCTCTTTGTGGCTCTACTATGTAAGAATGGCAGGAGGTGGCTCGCACTATTTTTTTGCAATGCGAAACTCCTATCAGCTGTTGATAGGCTGGTGAAGGATAAGGACAGCTATGTGAAGCAATGCTTAGATTCATTTGCATATGTTGTTGCATCAAGTGTGCCAAGTCTACTTGAAACTACTGTTGCGGATATCCAACAACTTATGAGTAGTAGACGCCGTGGGCAGATTATGGGAGTCTCCAGTCGGAATTCTTCTAAGACCAACTTTCACTTTTTCCCTGTTGTTCTCCATCTTCTTGGGTGTTCTTTACTCAAGCAAAAGGTTGCTAGTCACCAGGTTATACAACAGTTGGCAAACCTTATGAGATTGATGGAGTCTCCTTTCCAGGTAAGTTCGATCTCTGCTGACCCCCTTCTTTATTAGTCCGCACCTTAAAACTAAATCTGTTTTCACGAAAATCTCTCAATACAAATGTATGCATTGCCTTCTATTTTCTCATCGGTCCATGGTGCAGACTAAAATAATTGTATTTACATTGAGAGACATGCAAGGATGGAATAACTAAACTTGGATGTGTTTGGAAATGAAAGGACTAAGTTAGTCTTCTAACATGGCTAGGCTGCAAGGGTATTGGTTTGCCAAGTACAAGTTATGTAACTTGTAACTCTTTCCATATATGCATGTATAGTATCTGGTGTGGTAAAATAGTAGTAAGTATACTTCAGCCATCAATTTAATGGGTGACATAACCTATGGATTTACTATAAAATAGATATATGTATATATATTCTTTGTTGCTGCTGCTGTTGTTAGTCGTACCAATATTATTATTGAAGTAAGCTCTGAATTTCAGGGAAGAGATGATTTTCAGATAACACTTCTGCGGATCCTTGAATCTATTGCAGAGGAAACATCTGTAATTAAAGAAAGTTGCAACATTTTTACTTCTGAGGTCCTTCCTAGTTTATGTGTGCTATACAAAGGAAATAGTAAAGATGGAGATGCCAGGTTTTTGTGTCTGAAGGTTTTCTTTGATTTAATGGTCACATTACTGAATGAAGTATCAGGGGATGAACAAAAGATGATGGAATTGAAGTCTATATCCAATTCTCATTTCCTTCCTATGTACCCATCTTTGGTTGAGGATGAGGACCCAATCCCAGTTTATGCTCAAAAACTCCTTGTGATGTTTATAGAGTATAGTCACATAAAAATTCCAGACATTCTTCATATGAAGATAATCTCACAGTGCTTTGAATTTCTGCTAGTCGATTTCTCAAGCATGAATGTTAACAATGTCATGCTTTGTCTGGCTTTGGCATCTGCTCCAGAACTGGATACTGAAGTCCTTTCTCAGCTCAAAGTTGTAAGAAAGCTCGGAAGCCTGTTAGAATTTGTGCGTGCAAGGGAAATGGAAAATTTCATTGAACCTACTCTTTTTCTTTGCAAGGCTTTCCTTTTACGTTCAGCGGGCACTAGAAAAGGGTCTAGCAGCAACGCAAAAGAACCAGCACCGTTGCTGTATGATAATTCTTCACATGCAGCCATTGACTGCGATGAATGCAGCAGCACTATTATCAGAGATATAGCCGACTTTGGTGAGAATGTCGGAGTTCTGCTGGACCTGAGTAACTCCAGTGCAGATAACATATCAGACATAGCATCTGAATGCCTGGTCTTGTTGTTAAAGGCAGCTCCAAGGGAAGCTACCACTGGATTCCTAACCAACCTTGCCAGAGTCACTGTCATCCTAGAGTCATGGAGGCCTACCATCTCCAACTTGGTACCACTAAGGATTCTTTATGCTCTTGCTCACTCTTGCCGGCAATACTTGTCGCACAGTATGATTCTAGCAATACACTTTCCAGATATATCGAAACTCGAGCAGGTTTTGTCTCAGCTCAAAAGTTGCACCATACAAACTGTGGCAGATGCTGCCTTTTGCGCTTCTTCGGAACTTCAAAGGCTACCACATCGTTATTGAATATTACAAGAGGTTAGTTAGTCCCTTGAGTTCTCTCACACCACATTTTAAATTTTAATGCTAAATTCTGCCAGCGTGTCTATATGCACATATATACATATCTGCAAACACCCATTAGTTTTTTTGGATGAGAGGTAACTATATTATAATCCAAAAATAGCATTTACAATGCATCAAAATGAACTCAAAAGCTAACTAAATCAAAACAAGACTAGCTAACCAAAAAGTACCAAACGGGACAGGCCCGCATCAAATAACATCAAGCACAGTAACGGTCGAGTCAACGACAGCCTGGCCAACAGTGGCCTTCCATCAGTCAACCCAACCCGGCAACGACTAGGCAGTCCGGTGGCCGGAGAATGGATTCGAAAGTAACCAGCCAGAAATAAAAGCCAAACCTTACATCCTTCCACAGTCTCCGCCCCCGCCGAGCCCCGGCGACCCCCCGGCGACAACGGCAGAAAACTAAAGAAGGAGGTTCAACAGTAGCCGGAAAAACCCCAAGCCATTTAAGGTCCACCAAGTCCACCCCGGAGAGTTTTCCGGTCATCCTCTCCGGCAACATCAAAGAAATTCATAAAACCAGACCCGGATGCAACCACACCGAACCAAGTCCCTGTCGCCGGAAACCCAAGTAATCAAACCCCAAGCAACGATGACGATACCCATGGTACATATATGGTCCAAAACCAGAAAGAAAGCCACCGGTGTGGACATTTTCCTCCGGCCACGAATGAAGACTCACCGGTGGCTGCCATCTCCAAAAACCATGCCCTGGCCAGACATGGTCTTCATAACGCGACAGAGCTGCAGTGGTAGCAGTGTTCCAAACCTGCACCCGGTATGCCCTCCCGTGTGCAGCCATAGTAAAAAACTACCACCCGTGTAAAAAGTGAAACTCACCGGAGTATTAGCAGCAAGAAAACGACGGTGAGACCTGCAAACACCCATTAGTTAATTTCAGAAGTAGGCCTTTTCTCCTCAAAGTTGTTTCTGTGAAAATTCTTTTAAGGAAAATATTGGAAGTAGATGCTGACTTATGAAGTACAAAGAATGACATCTTAATTTGAAATATAATAGAATCTCGTGAGGGTGGTATAAGTATCTGGTCTTTGGACAATAAATACATGCAAGAGAGAACATAACACAGCTTCAAGAAGGAACAGTAGAGATTGGCATATCATTGTTTGTAACTATTGTTCTCCTGAATAGTGCTGAAACATAAAATAATTTCACAAGTTCTGCTCATGGCACAAGTTTCAATCTGGGAATGCTCGCTTCCTATTCAAAATATAGGGATGGATACAGAAGCTTACAACCAAGAACCAGATTACCAGAACCTTAAAAGTAGGGTTCTGGCTCTTTCAAATGGAGGATTAGACCGAGTACAAAAGTATAGGTTAATTCTTGATTGTCAGGAACTGTACTGTGTCACTGTGTGTACCCCTAATTTAAAGGAGATAATGTTCTAACGAATACTCCGTTTTGCAGGCATCCCATCATTCATTCTCGAAGTTCCTTATCTTTCTTAACATGGCCTTCAAGAGGGAGGAAGATCAGATCCTTCTACCTGCTATTGTCGTGAAGTTACTTGTAGTATGCATTCATTTCATGATTTTATACTTCCATCATCTTTAATATCTTAAAATGATTTGTTGTAGGCTCTCAACTGCTCTCCGTTCACGCAATTATCTGAGGGCAGATGTAATGATATCTGATCTTTATTTCTATGAATTAACTGCAAAATGTTTGTGGAATGTAAATATGTGTTGCTAGATGAATTGGATCAGAGTAACAAAATGCATTTTTTTGCGGCAAAAAGAACGTTCATTATTATTTTCATTAACAATGATATTGTATTATTGTTTTGAGTGATATATGAAAAGACTAGAATAACAAATCATCAAATGGTTAAATAAATAATGAAAGTACAATAAATTTGTACAAGAAACAATTTTTGTTCATGAAATGAAAAAAAAAACAGATTTGACAAATTGTTCGAGGGAAAAGTACCAAATCAACTCTCAAACTAACACCAATAGTTGCAAATCACCCCTTGAATTAAAAAAACCTCCAACCAAATCCTCCAAGTCAGTGAATGGTGCAAATGGCTTTTCTAAGCGGTAATTTACTCGTTAAAGTTGATGTGCACTTTTTTAAAAAATTATGCCACATAATATTCATTTATCCACCTCAATATATCTCACTCAAACCTTTTATTAACTGCTTATAGAATGAGGTTAAACGTGCAATCTCTTGAGATGCTCGTGTGTTTTCACGATTGGCTTAAGACCCACTGACGAACTCAAGAACTAAACAAAGCACTGTCTCATCACTTCATGGAGGAAATGACTAGTTGACTACTGACGAAGCGAGAGTTTCGAAGACTAGGAGATATGTAACCCCTTCTCTATTGTTTAATATTTTTTGTAATTGTACAAGCCAATGTAATGTTTCAAATAAATCTACATTTTTTTTTTGACGTTATCTACATTTCTACATTTCTGTTTTAATGTGTATAGTTTGTTGTTTGTATTAATATAATTTTAAGCACATTTTCTTTGGATAATTACTCTACATTTTACCGAGTATAATTTGTTGTTTGTATTTATATATCCTTTTGTACAAGTCAAACTTTCACCTAGCATATCTTATATCCATATTTAGTTTCTAAATATGAATAATTACTACTAAGTTTGAAAATAGTGTCATGTTTAAAGTTTGGCAATGTCACAATATGATAACAATTACTCCTATTTAGGAATAAAAAGATGACAAACCTATTTTGAAATTCAAAAATGATTTTACTTTTTTTTATTATCATTAGTTCATTACTCATTAGTCCATTATAGTTTTATTTAAGTCACATGCATTTTGGGCTCAAGGTTTGCAAAGGAAAAATTAATTTGAGGTTGACAAAGATTTCTTCTTCCTCCGTTTTGTAGTTGCAACAATCAACTTTGCACATTTGACGTTTTGATAACACATATCTTTGAGCGTCGAATCCCGTCAATATATTTATTCTCTATTAGTAAAAAATCAAAATTAGATTTTGAAAATTTGTAATGAGACAAATTGAACAATATTTATTAAAAAAATATTTCTCATAAATTAATAAATATAATGTATAGAAAAATGTTACATTATTAGAAAAATGTTACATTATTTTTCCTGATTAGATTGATGTACATAGTGAGTCGGATAGACTTAGTTAGTTGTAGATAAGCTCATAGTTATCTAGATCCTAATTTTTAGGATCTGTACCAGCTTGTAGTTATCTGTACAAACTGTATTTATACTCTGGCCGAATGGCTCATTCAATCAAGGAAGTTTTATTCCTAAAACTTACATGGTATCAGAGCAGGCTGTTTAAACACCACAATGGTGGAAACCGAGCAATCTGACTCTTCTCCACACTCACAAACCCATAACCCTAACTCCCCAAATAGCTCAATGACAAACTACCAGACCTCAGTTCATTCATCTATGCTCATTACTGGCCATAGATTGAATGACACAAATTATCTCGAATGGTCACAGTCTGTCAAGCTGGCTATTGATGGAAGGGGCAAGCTAGGGTACATAACTGGTGAAATAAAGGAGAAAAAAACTAGTGATGATGGCTACAGTGTCTGGAGGTCAGAAAATTCCTTGGTGACAGCATGGCTTCTAAGTTCAATGGATGCATCAATTGCCAAACCTCACATGTTCATGAAAACTGCAAAGGAGGTATGAAATTCCATTAAGGAAACTTACTCAGATCTTGAGAACTCTTCTCAGATTTTTGAATTAAAAACCAAGTTGTGGCAGTCCAAACAAGGCAATAGAGATATCATCTCTTACTATAATGAGATGGTATCCCTATGGCAAGAGTTGGATCAGTGCCATGATGATGAGAAGTGGGAGAGTGCCAAGGATCTAGCAAGACACCAAAAAAGGGAGGAAAATGATAGGGTCTACATGTTCCTAGCAGGAATTAATAGAGATCTAGATGAAGTTAAGGGGAAGATACTTGGAAAAAAATCTCTACCCTCTATTAGGGAGGTATTTTCTGAAATCAGGATGGAGGATAGCAGGAAGAAGGTTATGTACAGCATTCCAATACATAATGAGGAATCTGGGGACTCTTCAGCAATGGTGGCTAGGAGTGATGACAAGAAAAAACCCTGGTGTGATCATTGCAAGAAATTATGGCACACTAGGGAGACTTGTTGGAAAATTCATGGCAAACCACCAGGGGCAGGAAAGAAAAAAACTGAGAAGGCCCTACAAACAACTGTGACTGAGACTCAACAAGATCCACAAGTCAAGTTCAATCAGCTTTCATTCACTACAACTTCTTAACTTCCTTAATTCCCAGAAAACCCAAAATTCCCAGAAAGAATCCAAACCAGAATCTTCCTCTTGTTCTTATGCCCAAAATGGTACCTACTCATCAGTTTTTTGTTCTGGGAAATCTAAAAATACCTGGATTATTGACTCAGGGGCTACTGATCACATGACTTCTATTTCAAATCTTTTTTCTTCATATAAACCTAGTGCAGGGGATAAAAAGGTTAAGGTTGCAGATGGTTCTCTATCAGCCATTGCATGGATGGGAAATATTAGTATTTCCTCATCACTGAATCTATCCAAAGTCCTTCATGTCCCTAATCTATCCTGCAATCTTACTTCAGTTAGTCAAATAACTAAAGATCTACAATGTTGTGTCACTTTTTATCCTTCTTATTGCATTTTTTAGGACCTGGCATCGGGGAAGATGATTGGCAGTGCTAAGGAGGAGGATGGACTCTATATCTTTGATGGAGAAACTCAATCTAATAAAAAAGGTCCAAGAAATGCTTGTTTGCAAACTGTTTCTTTTTCAAATAATAAAGATTTGTATTTACTTCATTATAGACTAGGACATCCTAGTTTCTATTATTTAAAAAAGATGTTTCCCCAATTATTTCTGAATAAAGATGCTTCTTTGTTTAATTGTGATATGTGTGCACTTGCAAAACATCACAGAAACACTTATTTACCCCACAGTTATAAACCTACTAGTCCTTTTACCTTGGTACATAGTGACATTTGGGGTCCATCTAGAATACCAACTTTAAAGGGAAAGAGATGGTTTGTAACTATTATTGATGATCATACTCGTGTCACATGGGTATTTTTAATCAAAGAAAAATCTGAAGTTGAGAAAATATTTAGAACATTTTATGCTATGGTCCAAACTCAATTCAATACCAAAATTAAAATGGTAAGAAGTGATAATGGCCGTGAATATTTTTCTCAAACTTTAAACAACTTTTTTACTGAAAAAGACATTATTCATCAAAGCTCTTGTGTCAATACACCAACTCAAAATGGAATTGCAGAAAGGAAAAATAGACATTTGCTTGAAGTCACTCGTGCAATCATGTTTTCAACAAACATACCAAAATATTTGTGGGGAGAAGCAGTGTTACATGCTACTTATTTAATTAATCGCATGCCATCCAAAACTTTAGGATTTAAAAGGCCTATTAGTTCACTACAACACTTCTTTCCTACAAATAGATTGGTAAACACCCTTCCTACACATAATGCGGAGACGGTTGCATAGTGTTTATCAAAAATCCAGATAGATCTGCAAGTAAGTTTGATCCTAGAGGGAAAAAATGTGTTTTTCTAGGTGTTTCTGTCACTCAAAAAGGGTATAAATGTTTTGATCCTACAACCAAAACAATGGTTGTTACTATGGATACTTTTTTTGTGGAAGAACAACCTTTTTTTTATTCTCATCTTCAGCGGGAGAAATTATATGAAGATGTTCCAATAATGCACATATTCATGAAAATCTTAATTTTCTTGATATTAATCTGGATGATAATTTCTTTAAAAATGTCAGTACACCTGAAAATGATCAAGGAATAAAAAATAATGAAGTAAATCCAACTGAACCAATTGAAAGGATCAACAGACAAGTCAGTTCTTTGGAAAAACTTATGAGAAAAGGGTTAGAAATCAAAGAATAGAGGAAGTCCAAGAACCTACAATTGTCCATGATTCTGCCTCAATGTCAGGAAGTGAAAAAGGTAATACTTCTAGCAGCTTTGACCTTCCTATTGCTCTCAGAAAAGAGAGAAGAACATGTGTTAAATACCCCATCTCAAACCATGTTTCTTATTCGAAATTGACCTCAGACTTTGCAGCCTTTACCTCCAATATCTCTTCTATTTCTATTCCTCCAACCATACATGATGCTCTATCTAAACCTGAGTGGAAGAAAGCTGTTTTGGAGCAGATGGAGGCTCTTGAAAAGAATCAGACATGGAAGCTTGTAGAGTTACCTAAAAATAAACCTACAGTTGGTTGCAGGTGGATTTTCACCCCCAAGTTTAAGGCAGATGGAAGTTTGAAGAGGTATAAGGCAAGACTAGTTGCCAAGGGGTACACACAGACCTATGAAATTGACTACAAAGAAACTTTTGCACCAGTTGCAAAGTTGAACACTGTAAGAATTCTTTTATCTCTTGCTGCCAATTTAGACTGGTCATTACAACAACTGGATGTAAAGAATGCTTTTTCAAATGGGAAACTTGAAGAAGAAGTGTACATGGAACCCCCTCCTGGGTTTGAAAATAAGTTTGGGTTAAAAATTTGCAGATTAGAGAAGGCTTTATATGGACTTAAACAGTCTCCAAGAGCCTGGTTTGACAGATTCACAAAGTTCATAAAGAAGCAAGGATTTAATCAAGCTCAATCTGACCATACTTTATTCATGAAGTTTTCAGGTAAGGGGGAGATTGCAATCTTAATTGTCTATGTAGATGATATTATCCTCACAGGAAATTATCACACAGAGACTAAAAGATTGAAAGACAAACTTGCTCATGAATTTGAGATTAAAGACTTAGGAAATTTAAAAATTTATCTAAGAATGGAGATAGCTAGATCAAAGAAGGGTATTGTTGTCTCACAAAGGAAATATGGTCTAGATCTTCTACAGGAAATTGGAATGAGTGCCTGCAAAACAACAGACACTCCAATTGATCCAAGTCAGAAATCGGGAGATATCAAGGAGGGAAATCCAGTTGATATTCACCAATATCAAAGATTGGTAGGAAAATTAATATATATGGCACACACAAGATCAGATATTGCATTTGCAGTAAGCATGGTGAGTCAGTTTATGCATCATCCTCTCCAAGAACATCTTGATGCTACTTACATGATTCTGAGATACCTGAAGAGCTGTCCAGGGAAAGGATTGTTTTTCAAAAAGGGAAACAATAGGACAATTGAAGCTTTTACTGATGCAGATTATGCTGGCTCAATATCTAATAGGAGATCTACTTCTGGATACTGCACCTATGTATGAGGAAATCTAGTAACCTGGAGAAGTAAGAAACAAAATGTGGTTGCTAGAAGTAGTGCAGAATCAGAATTCAGAGCTATGGCTAATGGAATATGTGAGTTACTATGGATCAAACGAGTAATCACAGAACTAAAGATGGAGATTGAGCTGCCTATGAAGTTATATTGTGATAATAAAGCTGCTATAAGCATTGCTCATAACCCTGTGCTACATGATAGAACTAAGCATATTGAAGTGGGCAGACATTTCATTAAGGAGAAGATTGAAGCTGGAATCAATTGCACACCATTTGTATCCACTAAAGATCAAACAGCAGATATCTTACCAAAGGATTATTTAGACCTATATTTGAGCTACTTATAAGCAAAGGAAAAATTAATTTGAGGTTGACAAAGATTTCTTCTTCCTCCGTTTTGTAGTTGCAACAATCAACTTTGCACATTTGACATTTTGATAACACATATCTTTGAGCGTCGAATCCCGTCAATATATTTATTCTCTATTAGTAAAAAATCAAAATTAGATTTTGAAAATTTGTAATGAGACAAATTGAACAATATTTATTAAAACAATAATTCTCATAAATTAATAAATATAATGTGTAGAAAAATGTTACATTATTAGAAAAATGTTACATTATTTTTCCTGATTAGATTGATGTACATAGTGAGTGGGATAGACTTAGTTAGTTGTAGATAAGCTCATAGTTATCTAGATCCTAATTTTTAGGATCTGTACCAGCTTGTAGTTATCTGTACAAACTGTATTTATACTCTGACCGAATGGCTCATTCAATCAAGGAAGTTTTATTCCTAAAACTTACATAATGTAATCAAATTAGAGCATGTGAATAATGTAAAATTCAAACAAAATCTCATCTATCATGAGCTCATGAAGCATGTCTTATGTTCCTGTTAGAATACATTTATTATTTATGGAATTGAAAAACTCAACAGCAAAAAAAATGATTATATTCATTGTAGATTCCATGCAATGATGCAAATAGTACTGGTAGCAATTAGCAAATGAACTCATGAAACAAAACATGCAGTGAATCTACTGGACAAAACCAAAAATTAGTAATAAATAAAATACTCCGTATATACTCTATACGAGACAGCAGTGTTCATCACTCAAATCACAAAGGGAAGTCGGATATCGCCAAAAAAGGATCGGCATAACAAGCTTATAAATTTTGTATTTTGACATGAACAAATAAATAAATACACGGTTAGAGGTACAGCAATTTGGGGTCCATTACAACAAAAAAAGCACTCTTGGCAATTACATCACGAGGCTGACTAATTTGTCAACATCTCCACTTCATGTGGTCTATCATCATCGACTTTTGTTTGAAAACTTCCATCCTCAATGGAGTGCTTCACCTCAACATTGTTTGTCTGTGGTGGGCACAACACATTCTTAACCACAGAGAAATAGAAATCAAAATCAGTTTTCGTTTTAAAGCATGATGCTCCGATCCACTTCTCAGCAACACTGGTTGGCATACTGTCCAGGCTATCCCGTTCATGTTCTTCAATGGTGGGGCGAATTTCATCATATAGGGAACTGAGTGCTGAATTGCCCTGATTTCTCATCTCCTGCATAATAATTAGTTATATAATAGCCATCCGAGGAAATATTAAAGGAACTTTTAAAGTTCTGTCCAAAGAAAGAATTTGTATTTGGTTCCAAACCCTAATGAACTTTAGAGCCTGATAGACCAGACCTCCTAAAAGAGTTTTTATTGCATTGACAGCCATTAATTTGAAAATGGGATTACATCCCTTGAAACCATCTCAATAAGGCTTCCCAGAGCAGTTATTACCAACAGAGCCACATAAAATCTGGCTACGTTAATTTTAGAAAATGGAGGAAATTCTCATTAACTCTCAAGGTTCTGCCAATTTTGAAATTTCCAGTCAGGCCAAGGCATACCTTAAGCCTCATTAGATAGACTAAAATACACAATCACTTCGAGCAAAACAAACCATTTTGAGCAAACAGTCTGAAACCAGCAGTCCATTTTTGAAAATGGATCCCAGGATTGAATTTCTGTAACAAGCTTTAGATTATACGGTGTCTATGCTCCAATTTTAGGGTGAAGTTAGAAATATTGATATACTTGTATATTTAGCCAGACATTCAAGAGTCATCCATATTCACTTTTAGTGATCTCCTAGAATCCAACATAGAGCTGGTCGAGAAAGGTGGTCACAGAAAATCTATACTCGGTCCCAACGCTTATGAGAAAAGTGAAATTTTATGGTTATCATTGATGTAAAATGAAGATAAACAATACAGAACACAGATATTTTCTTCAAAGGAAATGTGAATAAACTTCCGGGACATCCCAAAGAGGAAAGTTTTGGACTTTTGGGTATACATTTGGGCAATTTGTTGTTAGATATTAAGGTTTTTATTAACGACTAGCGAGTCTTTACAATTCTCCTTTCCAACAATGTACGTTGTACAAAAAATAACCTCATGAGAATAATCATGAAATATAATCTGTACGCACCTCATATCTCATAATTTCTTCCCTTGATTCCTTTGATGGAAACAGTTTAGCGACGTTTTCGAATGTTACTTGCGTTCGTCCAGAAGTCTTGGTCTTTTGTTTGGGGGAATGGTTCACTTTGTTCTTTAACAGACCAACTCCAGCACTGTAATTCCGACGAGGTATAAACGCATTCTGTTTGTGAAAGCCATCTTGCAAATCGTGAGTATAAAGGCCTTCACCGACTTCAGCATTTACTGGTCTCCCCAGTACAGAGTCCATCGGAACTGAATGATGTGCGGCTTCCGAGGAAATACCTGGTTCTGAGAAATTTTCACATTCCTCTTTAACACTCATCATAGCAGAGTAGACAATTCTTCCATTGTCCATTCGTTCAGGTTCACAAGAAGATTGAATTCTGGCTTTCTTGATTAAAGTTTCATCCTCTCCAGAGTCATAAAGGGGGATTTCATCAACTGGGTATCTGCGTAGACATTAACATCCCGACACATTACATTTCAGTACTGTTGTACAAACAACTCATAGAGTTGGATTGCCCGACATATACTGGCAGACAATCATAGTTTTATTCATTTGAGCACATTGATATTGAAACTTAATTTGGTTCAAAAGTTAGGCAAACCATACTAAACCAGCTACCTGATGTGGGATGTATCCATGATTAAGAGACACAAACCAACACAAAAGTGGGTAAGAGAGGAGCTTCACAGTATTAGTATTAGTTCCAATTCGGATTATTGGTAATACTTTCCTATTACTAATTGGGCTGCAACACAACATAACTATAAGCTACTCATATTAGTATTGGTATCCCATGGCAATAGTTCCTAAAAGCAATAATTGTATCAGTTCTAATTAGGAATAGTTGATATTAAATTCCTAATAGAATAGTTTTACAATTTGTATTATACATACAGCGTAATCTTGGTATCACTGTATCAGTACGGGTTTTATACGGTTTTGGGTAAATTGACCCAAAATATTGGTTCCCAATAAACTGGTCCTGTTCTATGATTGGTTCGGTTTCAGTTATTATTTGGATAACCGAAATGTCGTTTCAGTCTCAGGTTACATATGATCGGTTTGGGAACAGAACTGAACCCAACCCTAGTATGGACTATAATGGGAAGAACGCTGATAGTTGAAATTAATCCCATAAAATTTTCATAAATTCAATTCTTGCAATGAGAATGAGAGGAATCCTGGTTTTTCTGTATTGGTATACAATCTCTCTACACTAAATATATTTCCCGGAGCAACTTTACTCATCTGTCCAAAAATGGAGCATTGTAGTAGTAATATTTATGGTTGACTTCCTTTGGCATATGATATAAGAAGTCATCACATATCCATATAGGTTAAACGATTCAATACAGTATGAAAAGAGCACTAGAGCAAAAAAGTTCCAAGATACTACTAGAGTTTACCTGTCATCTCCCTCTTCCCATAAATGGTTATGTTCCTGGATCAGAAGAATAGGGGTTTTAAAAAAAGGTCAAAGCTGCGAAAATTCAAACACAATATATATATCATCACAACTGATTTATATTCACCTGGAAACCATGAGACTTTCCACCAAGAAAAATTGAACACTTTGGTGCTCCACAGAGGCAGCGAACAGTAGCACCACCATACCACTCGAAGTTGTAGTTATATGTGAGCTCAACTCCATGAGAAATATCTTGCTTTGCGAAAATGCCAACCCTTGTTTCTCCTAAAACTGTCCACTTCCTTGTTTCACAATTTGGAAGGCTGGTAATTTCAAATAAACATAAGTCATCATTCCATACACAATATAAGTTGAGACTATCAACTGAAATGCAATATGAAAGTCATGGACATATGTTTATTTTTAGAAGATTCTGAAATGGACTGATCTTACCATGAATGATTAATAAACCTCGCCAAGCTTCCCTTCCTTGTGGCATCGATGAAGTAATTTGCATTCAGAGAGATTATATATGCATCCTTAAGGCCTGCATCAACCAACATCCAACAAAAACTGTTGTTTAACTCTTCACATATACTACGTAATTTCTTGATTACAGTATCAAAATATTGAACACCTACCCTGGGTTTCATATGTTTGAGACCTTCTCCTTGCTTTTTCTGATGATATTACTTCTCCACAGTACTCAATTATAAATTGTCCGTCCTGATAATATGGAGAGAGATATTTTAAGGTAAGAGAGCCCATTAATATAAAGAAAATATGTAAGACGAGTCACATGTGAGTAATATGTGGTTTCAGCATATCCGGGATGACTAGGGAGTTTATGTGATAAAATCATCAAGCTTATGAAATTGGCTATGGTAATCAAGCAGCCTATGCAATACTTCAAATCCAAAAATTCCAAGTGGACTCGAAACTTGTTTTTGCTTATTGTTTATTGCAGAAGAAATGAAAAATGATAGGTTCTTTCCTCTGATGTGAAAACTGTATATTAACTCAGAAGTTCTGGCTAAGCTCGTTTTGGGTCCTAGATAATTATTATTCGTAACGAAGTAGGCATTAATATATTCTATACTCCAGGCTCCAAAGTAATGTACCTACTAATAAGAGCACAGGGTAATTTATAGAAGCGTGAATAAAAACTACTACCTCCGTCCCAAAATGAACTTCCCATTTCGGATTACGATGCTTGACTGACGATAAAGCAACTCGATCCGTGATCATACTCAGATTATTTTTAGTAAACAAAATTTACATATTGAGAAACTACATTAAAACCGCTACAAAGGCTGATTAAAAAAAATATAAATTTGATAAAAATTTGATATATAAAACATAAGATTAAGAGTAATTTAAGTTGACCATGTGAATAGTGACTGTGAAGTTTATTTTGGGACGGAGGAGGTATTTGATTTCTACCCAAATTTACCGAATTACCCAAATAATAGAGGTAGAGTAACAAATAAGATGTTTGGAGGCTGGAACCCATAGATATGATGTGGGGAACAGTGTCAGTCATAATTGCAAAGGAAATGGAATGAAAGTTCTTGAGTACACAATTAGGTTGGGATTTGGTTGAGATCCCAAAAGTCTTGGACTTTCTGATGAAATTATTGCATTTGGGTTGGCATTAGGTTCAGATTCCAAACTCCCTAGGTCTGAGTTTGCTTGAGATCCCCAAAACTCTTAGAGCCCGTTTACTTATTTCTCAACTTTTCTGTTTTTCTGTTTTGGTTTATGTTTCAATTTTCAAAATCTGAACGCATGTTTTCCAAATTTTCTATATTTTCCTTTTCATTTTTCGAAACCATAGAGTATATAGATTGAGGAATTGAAACCTGGTACAAACTCCCTAGGTCTGAGTTTGCTTGAGATCCCCAAAACTCTTAGAGCCCGTTTACTTATTTCTCAACTTTTCTGTTTTTCTGTTTTGGTTTATGTTTCAATTTTCAAAATCTGAACGCATGTTTTCCAAATTTTCTATATTTTCCTTTTCATTTTTCGAAACCATAGAGTATATAGATTGAGGAATTGAAACCTGGTACAGCCAAAGGTGGAATAAATGACAAATATTACTTGACACCGCTAAAAAAATAATATGTGTGCATAATGCAAAATGAAGTACTCATAATTAGAAACATTTGAAACAAGACAAAAAAATTGCATAAACGATGATCCATGAATAAAGCGTAACAAGTGACATTTTAATAAGAGGTTACTTTTTAAAGTCATATGTCCAATTGGGGTAATTTCTTTTAAAGTCACATATTTTCTCATGATCTGTGGATCAGAGTGAGTATTAAAAACTTATTTATTTTAAAAAAAATATTATACCTAGAGTAAGTTATAAAACACTAAAAACATGCAAACTGATTTTCTTAATTTAACAAATAAAATAGATTTTCCATCATTTGCAAAGGAGCCAAAGATTCACTCTTTTTTGGCTTGAGAATATGATGGAATAACACAAAATGGCTCACTATGGGTCATAAAAGTCTGTGTTTCTTTGTTATGACACAGCAGCTAATCTATGTAATTTTGGACGCGATTTTCACTATGGGTCATCCGGAAACAGTCTCTCTGTACTTTAGTACAAGGGTAAGACTGCGTACATCCGACCCCCATTACCCTACCATAGGTGCGAGCCTGTTGTGAAACAGAAAAATAAAATCAACGATAAAAATACCGTTGCCCAGAGCCAAAAGGCTAAAATCCAACTTCATTCCAAGATGAGCCAAAATGAATCCTAACAAGGGGTTTAAATACCCATCTACTAATTCCCAAACTAGGAAACAAAATCCTAGAAATCCTAATCAACTCCAACTAGGAAATAAAATAAAAAAAGATCCTAATCAACTTCAAATAGGAAACAAATAATAGAAATCCTAATTAACTCCTAATAGGAAACAAATATTAGAAATCCTAATTAACTCCAAATTGGAAACAAATCAGGAAAATTGAAAAGAATAAATATTAATTAAGCAGCCCGCAACCAGCCCACGAAGGTTGCAATCCGGAAACCGGTTGACATTTGTCCCCGGGGGCAGCCCATTATCTTTAGGAAAGCTGTCACTCAATCCTTTCAGCCCGTTCATGAAATACCCCAAATAATGATCGTCAAATAGCCTTGGGACCTGACTTGGTAGTTGAACAAATATTGAGATGTACTCTGCCACAATCCTTGTCTGCTTGACTTCATACAGCCGTTCAAAGCAATTGCCCTTAAACTATGAGTCATAACGAGCCATCAACGCCTGTGTAAGCTCATCCCATGTCATGCCCGGCTTTCGTGCCCGTATCCAGGTCAACCGGTATAGGGCAAACCCTTCCATCACAACTACAATGGCTGCCACCTTTCCCGGCGGAGTACAGTTCAGTTCGAACTGATGCTCAGCCCTAGCAACCCAGCCGATCGGGTCTTCTCTGTCAAACGAGGGCAGCATCGTGAGAGAAGTGCTGCACAGACAAGTTCCAAACGTGGATGTTGATGTCGCATCGAGTGAAGCCACCGCCGATGGATTCTCCGCCGTTGGCGGCGCGAGAGCCTTCGTGAGCGCAGCCAAGGAGGATGCGATCTCTGCCAGTAGGATTCCTTGTGCGTCCAGCTTCGCACCCCTCGCATCTAGTTTTTGGTTCATCAAAACCAGTTCGGCCGGCCTCCACCTCTGACAAACGTTCACTGATTGATCTCGTCATTCCAGCGGGAACGGGATCCGGCAGGTCGGACCAATTGTTGTGAAACAGAAAAATAAAATCAACGGGGTAAACCGTTGCCCAGATAATCAACGATAAAAATACCGTTTCCCAGAGCCAAAAGGCTAAAATCCAACTTTATTCCAAGATGAGCCAGAATGAATCCTAACAAGGGGTTTAAATACCCATCTACTAATTCCCAAACTAGGAAACAAAATCCTAGAAATCCTAATCAACTCCAAGTAGGAAATAGAATAAAAAAAAGGATCCTAATCAACTTCAAATAGGAAACAAATAATAGAAATCCTAATTAACTCCTAATAGGAAACAAATATTAGAAATCCTAATTAACTCCAAATAGGAAACAAATCAGGAAAATTAAAAAGAATAAGTATTAATTAAGCAGCCCGCAACCAGCCCACGAAGGTGGGCTCAAGCCCGTTCCCGCCTTCAGTAAACCCACGGGGGCTTCTGCACCTCTTCTTCCAAGCCTTTTCGGCACTGGGGTAATGATCATGATGATAATGATGATGAACAAATAAAATAGATTATTCCTGGGAAAATGAAGCACATTAGGATGAGATATCATTTTGTTAGAGGGTTGATCAGTAGAGGAACTAATAGCTTGAAGAACATCTCAGGTGCAAAGAATCCAGCAGATAAGTTCACTAAATCTGTGACGCTGGACAAGCTGAAGTCGTGTGTAACTTCAGCTGGCCTTCAAGAATAATGTTGAGAAGGCAACTAGCAACTAGGGGGAGCTAAAGAACATATGATGTTTTACAGAATTACAGAGGAGTGGAGTGCAGCTGATCGTGTTTCGAAGCCTCCAAGTGGGAGATTGTTGGGGTGTAGACTTCAGCCAGATCTGGAAGCCAAATAAACAGGACCAGCAGCCAGTACTAGCTAAATGTGCAGCCGGCCCTAGTTGGGCCTGTTTTTTGGTGGCATTCAAGCCCAGAGCTTAATTAAGAGTGTACACTAACTGTTTGCTTATTTATAAGGACTTCTGTACTTGTAAACGTTGTATTGTATCATTCATCACCTCAATAAGAAAAGAAAACCCTAGTTGCCCCCGTGGATTAGGTCAGTAACATCTACTGGCTGAACCACCTAAATTTCGTGTGGTTCTTCTCGTTCTTTTCTAGTAACAGGCGGGAGTTTTTTTGTTCTGCTGGGGAGGGAGAAGCCGAACACGTGCATGAGGGAGCAAGTGTTGGTAAACAAAATCTGGCCTATTTATATGGTGTGCGTAATGTGTACAGCTTTTGTGTAAACATAGCGTTTTTGTTTTTGTAATTTAAAACCTACATAAGTTGTCCTGCAGTCCTGCGCAAACTATCAAGCTCCTCTGCTTCATGTATTAATTTTTGAAGTCCTTCTCAGTGAATCGTAAACTCCTATCTTCTATGGTAAGGTATGATTTCATTTTTTTAATTTTTAAACCTTTTCACTATGTATGAGAAACATGAAAATATGAACTCATTGGTTTATGATGGTTTACATTCTTAATATGACAAATTGTTTTGAATTGTAACAAATGATGCTAAAAGTATGTTTTGACTTTAAGCAATTTCAGGTTTAAATATTTTTCTAAATTAATAATGATAGTTGATAAATGTTAGTTAAATACAAAACTAAATGCACAATAGACTTTTTAAACCTACCCAAAATGTTTTCAGTGTGAGGTTTGAATACACTATTTTGACGGATTTATGACCTCATTTTTGGGTGTTTATTTATGAAATTTGTTGTTTTGGATTAAATTTATTTTTTATTACTTCTGGCTATTTAAATACACAATTGCTCTCCATATTAAGATTTGCGCCTCAGCGTTACGCCTCAATGTGCCATGAGGCTTACACAATACGCCATACTTAAAAAATGCCTCATATATGCCATACGCAGTTTGCGCCTCAGCGTTACGCCTCAATGTGCCATGAGGCTTACACAATACGCCATACTTAAAAAACGCCTCATATATGCCATACGCAATTTGGAACATTGCCCAAACGTGCTAGCAACTAAGCTGAAAAGTGACAGGTCTCACAGGGGGCAGGTTTTGTGAGATGCTGAGATCATCTTACGCAAGAGTAAAAAACAGAAAGAAGAGGATGATGCACAAATTACCTTTATATACTCATCAGCATGAAGTCCCCACCCACGACCATCAGTTTTGAACAGCTTTGTTTTAGCATATTCACATTTCTGAAACCTCTGAAAAAAATAAACTTGCATTAAATACACTGCCTCTAACCCAATGAATGTGCAAAATCCAAGATGCTACAAGCAGAAACTTTGAACTATCAAATTACTCAAAATATCTAACCGTAAAACTGTCATGATAAACTTGGTTATAATAATAGACATCAAAGAGTGAACAAGATCTAGGTAAAAAGCAGTAGATGCTAGATAGTACTGTTTCTTCCTACTTTGTCACAGTACCATATAATACATTCTACATATTGCAGCAGAACGGCCAGCCCTAAAAACTATGTAGTGTTAAAGCAGACATTGGAATTGCTAGAATTCTAAAAAAATTATACAGTTCATAAAATGCACAGATGTGTGGACCGTTTTGAATACAGTATAAACAAAATATCTCAAAATTATAAAAAATACTTGAACTTTGTGGTATTCATAATAAACGATGAACTTATCAGTGTCTTCAGCAAACACATGAATTATTAGCCACAGGCTCAAAAAGTCATTTTTGTAATTATTACTAGGAAGCAGACCACTGTCACAAGTTTCCAGAGGTGAACGCCTGAGATATTCACCGGAGATAGAGATGGCGGCTAGGAGAGTTCACTGGTTCAAACTCACTACAGAAGTAAAAATGGAGCAAACAGAGTAGGCAAACTTTGTGCAAAGTTTTCTTTTTTAGTGCACATTGACCAGAGTTTGTTAAACTAGTAAATCCCAAAAATGTCCCCAAAGGAAACCATAATAGTGCTTGAATGAGGGCAGAGAAGGAACTCCAATGTTGTGTTCCCACACCAAGTGCAGCCACTATCCTCCCAACAGCTCAACAGCTTCCATAAAAGTCATTGTGTGTAGGGTGAATACAATTACACTGAATACATATCAAATCTAAAATGTTTAAAAATACTCAAACTTAGTGACACTCATAATTACCAATAGAAAGGCATCAGGGTCTTATAAAAAATGTACCAGGGAGGAGATGGAGCGAGAAAAAAAATGAGGGAGAAAGAGGAATTATATATCATGGGCATACAGGCAGAAGCACTTATCGCGAGTTGCCAGAGATCAGTGAAGGGAGACAAATATGGTGGCTAGAGGTAATCACTGGTCTAGACTTGCTACAGAAGAAGAGATGAAGCAAACAGAGCGAACGAGAATACGTGATGAATATCTCTGTTTTTTGGGACATCAGTGACTATATAAGGGAGTTTATTTTAATTTTGAAATCCCAAAAATATCCCAATAATCTATCTGTATCACTATAATTGTCACTTAGGCTGAATCAGCCTAAAACACCTCCCAGTATTCCTGCAATCCAAATCACTCTGTTACTGGAAAGAGAGGTACTTCACTGTTTTGGGGTTACTATACATGCTACAGCACTATACAGTCCACAACACCTAGAACTATTCCTACAACCTTTATCCGCACTGCTACAGTCTGTACCAGGAGTCTTAAAAATGATTTTCCTGTAATAAAAGAAACAACATCATTCTGTTGATGAGGAGGCACTAGCTTATCTCTCAAAAGATTGGTTCCAACACCCTTGTGTCCTTTGCATTTGGAATTTATACGCATGTGATAGATTTTGTTCATATTTAAAATAACTTTTTTAGGTCAGAAAATGGTCGAGTCCCCAAATAAATACAGAGTATAAAACATCAGTGATAGGTACACGGTAAAAACAGCTAGTATATTGACGATAATCTGAGTTTTACAATGGCGGAAATAAAAAAAGAGAAGAAACAGATCAAGACTCTTCGAGAGACCTCACTCTCCCAACCTAATTCCAACTGAATTCCAGCCTACCTTTCCCTCTTCTATTCCTTCTATTTATTCTTTTCCAATGAGGCTTCCCTCAATCTATCTAATTACTTGGCCCAGCCCACTATTACATTTTATTAAAATATTCAGTATTATTTCTATTATATCTCACGCCATGAACCCATAAGTCCAGGTCTCTATCATCACTCCGCCCTTTGACAACCACCTTGTCCTCAAGGTGGGGAGTAAGAGCAATTATGCCATCCCGCTTCATCCTTCATCCTTGTGCCTCTTCCTTCCCAGTACCTTAGTGTTTGCTGGACAAGGGGCTTCCATACTTCAATCTTCCCCCTCACTTCTTCTAGCAAAAGAATCAATAGATCCTCTACCTTTAGAGCATCAGTCCTACTCGGGTGGCTTTGTTCATGCTGGAACTGAGCTTAACCAATCCCCAACTGCTCAATCTTACAGTTGCTAACAGCTCTTGCCTCCGGATATAACCACAGTCCTGGGGTCTCAGTTGCTTCACTCCTGGGAATTGTAGCATCTGACATGAAGTATCCACCAGGACTGATAAGAAGAACCGCAGAAACATCAAATAACTGACTAAGAACAAGGGCAGATTCCAATGCAGAGGTATTAGCGGAAGCTTCCCAATAGTATTCATGTGACCCAGAATTGATAGGCTCAAGCAATGTCATGAGTGGTGCAAAACATGCTGCTGTTTCGACTGTGGATAACCAACTGGCATAAGGAAACTCTGCAAGATACTCTTTTCCATTTGCCAACTGCTTTAAACCCTTTTTATGCATTTCAGAATCACTAAAAGGCTGCCTCCCAACTTCACAGAGACTTGTTGCAGGTTGCAGCTTTATTACTAGCAGATTAATAGGTGAAAATCCATGCACATGGCTTATAAGTTTTTGTGTTGCTTCCTCCACAAAAGCTCTTATCCACTTAATAATCAAGTCCCTGACGTAGTTCCATCTTACTGCGTTAAGAGCAATAACTGGGCAGCACAACATACAAACACCATCAGCTTTAGTCAAACAGTTGGAATAACCTTCTAGTAAGGCAGGCATAGAAACTGGATTTCCAGTATATAAGCCATCCACCTAAAACCAACAGCAAGAGGTCCAATGCCCAGGTTTCCAGATCCCGAACAGCCCCTAGCAACAAGGTTGTGACAAAATTACAATCCCTTTCTAAATCTGCTTCATAACCACAGTGTATCCGAGCCGCTGGTAGGACAGTAACCACTCTAGAGCTGCACCTCACAGGATGAACAACTGATCTGAACTTCACAAGATGTATATAAGAGTGAAATCTCATGTAATTAAACCAAACAGCAGTGAAAACACAATTGCCATTGCTATGGTAAAGATCCACCCGCAGACTTTATATACCATGGCTGTTTATTTGCAAATTCGTCCCTATCTTGCTTTGACGAATTTGGATTGGGTATGGTTTGCATGAATGAAACATGACTATCATACTTGGAAACTGATTTGTGAACATCATAAGGTTCTTCCATATTGCAAACCTGGAAATTATACCAACAGCCTAAAAGTAAAACCAGGTAGTTTGTACCTTCCTCATAGAGTCATAGTTATTGGTAAATGTCCTGCTCTTCAATCCTTCCACCCACTGATGAGGAATGTTCACATAGCCCTCCTTTCCCTTCCATCCCCTCATGTCTTCAACTCTGTACTTTCCTCTCCTTGCTGGCCTGTTCTTCTCTTCCAACAACAGGGCTTTATCCCTGAATTCAGAAAAGTATTCATAGTGATAGTGTTGCAATTCTGCTTTAGTCTCTTTCATTAAGCACTTCATGAAAATTCTTTTTTACCTATCTGCATCTGTGTGCCTCAGCAAAGCTATCATGAGTTCGAATGAATTTTGAACCAAGTCTGGGGAGTTTTCTTCTCTCATTCCCCTTATAAGAAATCCATTAGCGATTGCAGCACCCGAATGAACTACCAGAATAGGATCCTGAGGAACAGTGAGGGGTTCAGCAATTGAGCCAGCTTTAGGTCCCGCAGCAACTGTAGCTTGTTCCTCGATGTTAGGAATAGTGTAGGAAAACTACACGTGTATTTCTTTGTAAAGCAATGTAACTGCTTTCTGTTAAGCTTCGGTTTAGTTAGCTATGATTACTTCCTGTATAAATACTCTGTAATATCTGATTCTAAGTAAGATGATTTCATTTCTGCTTCTACCTTGCTTCATTTCTATTATGGTATCAGAGCATTGCTCGATCTAACCATGACGAACTCTGCGTCTGAATCATCTTCTTCCTCGCAATCATCTTCTCACATTCCTAATCAATCTTCGCCTATTATTTTTCATCATCCTCTACCTATTAAACTCGATTCAAACAATTTTCTGTTTTGGCGCCATCATGTTGAATCAGTAATCCGAGCTCATAAACTTCTCAGATTCATAGAAAATCCTCAGATACCAGATCGTTTCTCAGTTGATGAAAATGGAGCGAAAACAGCTAACGAAGCATACAACACCTGGGAGCAACAAGATCAAATGCTGTTTTCGTGGCTCTTAGCTTCGCTTTCAGAATCACTTCATGCTCGCGTCATCTGCTGCAAGCATTCGCATGAGCTATGGAGTGAAATTCAGAATTTCTTCCGCTCAAGTATCATCGCGCGAGCTCGTCAACTGAAATCGGAACTGTATAACACCGGGAAAGGTGATCGTTCTATTTCTGAATACTTGCTTCGTATTCAAACAATTGTTGATAACCTAACTTCTGTCGGCGAGCCTATATCAACCAAGGATCACATCAATGTGATCCTTGAAGGTCTTCTTGAGGATTACGAGTCACTTATACACACCATCAAAATGGTGTTGTTGAAAGGAAACATCGCACCATTGTTGAGAAAGGTCTATGTCTCCTTGCACATTCTTCTTTGCCTTTCAAATTCTGGGACACTGCCTTTGCCACTGCTGTACATCTTATCAACAAACTTCCATCAAAATCTATTGCAAATCTCAGTCCACATTTCAAACTTTATGGTACTATTCCTGAGTATACCTTTCTCAAAGTTTTTGGTTGCTCCTGCTATCCTTTCATTAGGCCTTACAACAAACATAAAATGGATTACCATTCCAAGGAATGTGTTTTTCTGGGATACTCTTCTCATCACAAAGGCTATAAATGTCTCTCCCCCTGTGGCAGAATTTATCTTTCCAGGGATGTTATATTTGATGAAACCAAATTTCCTTACACTACTCTTTTCCAATCCCCATCCAGTTTATCTTCAAGTGTCCCAGTTTCCTTATCAGCCCCAATAGCAATTCACTCTCCTTCTCATTCATCTTCATTCCACTCTGACAATGGTGCCACTCCTACATCCAATTCCAACAGTTCAAATTCTTCTTCTAGTCCTTCATCAACTCCTACATCTTCATCCAATACATCTCAGTTTCAGACTGATCATCAACAATCCTCCCAATCTGAGTCAACTCCTTCTAATTCATTTAACAATAACACTGCCCACTCTCACTCCTCCTCATCTGATTCTAATCCTCCTCCACCTCCAAGTCCTCCTCACAACAATCATCCCATGCAAACCAGATCCAAATCTGGGATTGTAAAACCTAGACTTAATCCCACCTTACTGTTAGCTCATATAGAGCCTAAATCAGTGAAGCAAGCTCTCTCTTCTCCACCTTGGCTTGCAGCAATGAAATCTGAATACAATGCCCTGATTGCTAACAATACTTGGACTTTAGTGTCTCTTCCTCCAGGCAAGCAGGTTATTGGTTGCAAATGGGTATTCAGAGTCAAAGAAAATCCTGATGGTTCTGTGAATAAGTTCAAAGCAAGGTTAGTTGCCAAAGGCTTTCATCAAAGGTTTGGTTTTGACTTTGGAGAAACCTTTTCTCCGGTAGTTAAACCTGTCACCATCAGAATTCTTCTCACATTGGCTGTCTCTCATCACTGGTCTATACAACAACTTGATATCAACAATGCTTTCCTAAATGGGGACCTTGAGGAGGAGGTCTACATGTCTCAACCCCCTGGTTTTCAAGCTAAGGACACCTCCCTTGTTTGTAGACTCCATAAATCCTTGTATGGTCTAAAACAAGCTCCAAGAGCTTGGTTTCACAAGCTCACTTCAGTCCTGTATAATGCTGGTTTCAAACAAAGCAAAAGTGATCCTTCTCTTCTTATCTACCTCAAGACTGGAATCCAAATATACATCCTAATCTATGTTGATGATATTCTGGTCATTGGAAATAACTCCACTATCATACAACAAATCATTCAAGCCTTACATTCTTCTTTCTCTCTCAAACATCTGGGGGACATAGATTTCTTTCTGGGCATCCAAGTCAGAAAATTACCTAATGGTTGTTTGCATCTTTCCCAAACCAAGTACATTACAGATCTTCTTCACAAAGTTGGAATGGCTGATTCCAAGGGTGTGAAAACACCCATGGTGAGTACCTGTAAGCTTACCAGTGAAGGGAATGACTCTCTACCTGATCCTTCTCATTACAGATCTGTTGTTGGGACCCTACAGTATGCTACCTTAACCAGACCTGAACTCAGCTATGCTGTAAATAAAGTGTGTCAGTTTATGGCCAATCCCTTACAAGAACATTGGAAAGTTGTGAAGCATATCCTGAGATATCTTTCTGGAACCATCACTCATGGATTACTGATCAAACCTCTTCCTTTGACAAAAACACCTCTACCTATCACAGCCTTTTGTGATGCTGATTGGGCATCAGATCCTACAGACAGGAAGTCTACATCTGGGTCATGCATTTTTCTGGGCCTTAATATTATTTCTTGGTGGTCCAGAAAGCAACTAAGGGTAGCCAGATCTTCAGCCGAAGCTGAATATAGAAGCCTAGCAGATACTACATCAGAAACTTTATGGGTCCAATTCCTACTCAAAGAACTTCAAGCTCCTTTCACTCTTCCCAGAATCTACTGTGACAACCTTAGTACAGTGCAACTAGCTCACAATCCTGTTCTGCATACTCGTATAAAACACATGGAAATTGATCTTTTCTTTGTACGAGAGAAAGTCCAACTAAAACAGCTTGAAGTGTTTCACATTCAAGCCTCCCAGCAAATTGCAGATGTGTTAACCAAGCCTCTATCTGCTTCCACCTTTCTTGAGTTCAGAAACAAACTCAGTGTGATTGATTTTCCAACTCAATCACCCTCAGTTTGAGGGGGGAATGTTAGGAATAGTGTAGGAAAACTACACGTGTATTTCTTTGTAAAGCAATGTAACTGCTTTCTGTTAAGCTTCGGTTTAGTTAGCTATGATTACTTCCTGTATAAATACTCTGTAATATCTGATTCTAAGTAAGATGATTTCATTTCTGCTTCTACCTTGCTTCATTTCTATTACTCGAGTTCATAGCCGACGTCTGTAAACCCATCCTCAGATGAAGGTTGCCGCCAGCTCACATGTTCAGCTAGCCACGAAAACAGAGAACTGAAAGATACGGCTCGCGGCTAAGCTCGTGACAAGACCTGCGAATAATTGATTAATGAAGCTTGAGTACCGGAAGAAAATGATTGTGATGATGATCGGTGATGAATGGCTATCGAAGGCGAACTGTGAAAATCGTCTAGTGATGACGATTTCGAACTGGTAATATCCGCTGAGGGTGACGATAGGTGAGGAGCTGTTCCCGCCTGCGAACCGGGAAAAACATCGAAGGTTCTGGCAACTGATGAAACTGACGCAGGTTGAGGAACGACAAACGAGGACGAGCTCTGAGATAATGCGAGTGAGGAAGCCTGCGAACTGGAGGCATAGACTACCGACGATACCTGCGGACTGGTAGAATCGTCTAACGACAATAACTGGGAACCGATCGATGACTCTCAGTGAGGAGCGGCTAGAGATGATGGTGATACCTTGCTTGCAGAATTCTGACAATGGCGAACTGTCCTCGATCGACCTTGCCTGAGACAATCGTCCAACCAGATCCTCCACCTTTTCTCCCAATCACTTTCTACCTTTTCCTTGCTCTTCTCGCGCTTCTCCTTGTTCACGCAGTTCTCTCTGTTTGAATGCTTCTCCAGTTTTCCACGCGAACCAGAGGCGGCCAGTTCTGACCGTCGATCTTCTTTGAGCAAACCAGAGCGCGTCTCCACGTTTCCGGGGGTCGACTGCTCTGATACCATTGATAGGTACACTGTACAAACAGCTAGTATATTGACGGTAATCTGAGTTTTACAATGGCGGAAATAAAAGAAAGAGAAGAAACAGATCGAGACTCTTCGAGAGGCCTCACTCTCCCAGCCCAATTCCAACTGAATTCCAGCCTACCTCTCCCTCAGTCTATCTAATTACTTAGCCCAGCCCACTATTACATTTTATTAAAATATTCAGTATTATTTCTATTATATCTCACGCCATAAACCCATAAGTCCAGGTCTCTATCAAACAGTCCCCAAAACCACAGGAGCAAATGACATGTCCCCAAATAACAATATAATGATCAGCCTCCAAAATAAAACAACAAAAACTAACAAAAATTCAGTCCTGTATGATCTAGTTAATGATAAAAAATGTTGGGTGGGACCATAACTATTCTTCTACATTATGCGATCAAATATCAATCCAGATTCTTGTGTTTAATATGATCGGACAAAACTTTATTAGAATATAAAAGGGGATAATAAATATGAGCAAGTGGTATGATGCTTAAATACAAATATACATTAGTAATGTATATTTGTAAAATTACATATAGGAAACCAAAACAGGCCTGAAGTAAAACTCTCCATTTTACATGTTAGTAGTGATGGTACAAATACACTTTCAGCTAACTCTATGACTATTAAGCCCACAATATACATAAAAGCTCGTGAAAAGAACAAGATTCACCCTGTTTTTTGTATCTTAGGGTATACATCTATCAGTGACTAGTTATGCAGAGACATGCAATAAGAGAGGAGTGCATAAAGCACTCAAGTTACACCACCTGATTCTTGCAATAATTGCCACACGGGCAGAATCCGGGTGTGCATTCAGTGCTGGTTAATACATTCAAGCACCCTTCGCCACATGCACTTTCAGGATCACTGGTTTCATACTTGCATATGCAAATAGCTAGGTCCTCTTCTTTTACTTTTTTAGTTCTGTAATATATCAAAAGAACCAGAATTAAAATCATACTCCACAGGGGAGCCATTAATAATCCCATAAACATTGATTAGCAGATTGTACAGAACCTACGAAGTCATGCAAAAATGAATTGATATAAACAATGGATTACAATATGCTATTTAGAGGTTTGCACACAATTAGAATAGCACAGTAGTCTAATTGCTCTTATTTTACATTTATAAGTGTTGTATTATTGAGTATCAGCTCCTATTTTACACTTATGACAGTGTTATATTATTGAGTATCAGCAATCAGCAGTGAAATGATGAACATAGTTCACTGTTCAGTCAGTTCAGACCAAAATATCAGATAAAGATAGTCACAACTCACTTGAGGAGAAACAAGAGCAGTAATTGGGTAATATAAGATCTTGCATCCCAATTGCTTTGGCCTAGTTTGGATGCAAGGAATTGTCACAAGAATAATATTCCCATGGGAGTATTTAAAAATAGATTATGTCGGGTGCTTATGGGGCCCCAGTTAACAATGCCTTAGGCCTATGTCTGCCACCTAGTGCCAACATCCCAATTGCTTTGGCCTTGTTTGGATGCAAGGAATTCTCACAAGAATAATATTCCGGATGGCTCGTCGGACCAGGGGTGGCCGGAATCCACCGAGAATAAGAGAAGAAAGGGAGAGAGTGAACTGGTTTGCAAGTCTTACAGTATAGAATTCAGAGTGCGATCAATTCAGCCTCCCTTTCCACAAGTTGGAAGGTGATATTTATACTAAGAGGTAAAAGGCAATACTTGGTGCCCAAGTAAAAAGATGCTAGTCTAATAGGAGAGGGGCACGTGTAAAAGTACTCTAACAAACTAACAGCCTAATTTGATGGGGAGCAGCCACGTGTAAAGCTGATTGGAGAGAGAGTCTTCAACAACTGGCTGATTGGAGTGTGCTCCTAACAGAATGGCTGCCAGAAATCTCGTGTAGTTGAGCGTGGGTAATTGAGAATATTCCCTGGTGACGTGGCGGTCTTGGAGTGTGGACTTAATATTTTGCGTACTTCAGAATGAGTCCGTGATATTTTATACCGGCGATTATGATACCCCTGGTGTATACGGGAATATACTCCATCATGAGTCCCCCACTCTCCGAAGCGAAAGTGGAAACTTGAGGTGAGAGAGAGTAAATCTTCAATTTCCTGGGCACGTTCGCCCGGCAGGGGTGCTGCTCTTCCATGGTCATGACAAAGGGGTACCTCATTAAAAACTCTGCTGAGGAAAAACCCTGAGGGAAAAAATCCTAACGGAGGAAAAAGAGTATACTCCGTTTTGCCATGAAATCCGGAGAGGAAAGCGACGCCCCGCTGCAGAGAAGTCCGAGCTCGAGCTCTGTGTATTCCGCGTTCCAAACCTGCCTCATGGGTTAGCTGCTACATCCACGGCCCTGGGCGTGGGTTGATAAAAGTTTTTCGAAAAAATTTGTAAGGAATTTTAATCTATGTGCGAAGCTTGAAGATATACATGTTTGGTGCTGAGCCCGAGGTGGCTACGTTCTTCTGAGCTTGTTTGTTGTAGTCTTGTTTTTGTTGTTTTGATTTCTTTCCCGAGTCCCCCACTTAGCAGTCCCCCACTCTTGTGGACTTAGAATATTTTCTAAGTGCGGAAGAGTATGAGTTTGAGGGGGACGAGGCAATTGCATTTATCGCTTGGTGAACTTAGGAGAATTTGTGCCGTGTAGTAACGCTGATGTGTACAAATAGGAATCTTTACACATTCCTTTTGCAACATTACGAATTAATAACCGCTTCTCAACATTTAATGCGAGGGATGGCGTTTGAAGTGATTGTACGGCGCCATCATTGTGCCTTTTTGCACGGCTTTTTGAAAAAACCTTTGAGTTATTTGGGCGGCTGGAGAGTATTGCGCCACGTGTAAGCCTCCCGTTCATTTTTGAAGGGAAGTATAAAAGGCGAAAGCTTTCGTCTTTCTCCTTTGCGCTTTTTTTTGCATTCGAGTTTTCAGAGTTTTCAAGCATTTCAAGAGCTCATCTTCTCTGGTCATTGCTTCCGAAGTTTCAGCTCTCTCCGTCAACTCCCCTAACCAGGTTAGTCTCCGACTCTGTTTGTTCGTTCCTCGCCTGTCGTAGTTTGGCCGGAAGAAACCCAGAATAAGGGTTTTTCCGTCAAATTTGGCTCTGTGAACAATGGGGGGTTTACAGTCCCCCATTCTTGACGAGGTTGGCACCTCTGGACTCGGAATCGCATGTTGGTGCCGATTCGAGTGTTTAATTTTTGTTTGGAGGTCGGACTATTGGTCCTTAACCCCAACTCTGGATTTTGACTGTCTGCATGTACGTGTGTTTTTCTGCATATTTTGAAAATGTCTTCTCAGGGTAATGCTGGAGATAGGGCCGTCCCTCAACGCGGGGTTAGGGAAACCGCCGTTGTGTTTGACGTGCCTCCCATCCGCTTTATTAGGAAGCGGAGAAGCAACAAGAAGAAGTCTGAGAATGCGGTGGGCACCCTTACGGAGAACGGCCCTCTCGTGGATGTGTGTGCGCTCACTGACGCTGAGTGGGCCGAAGCCAGATGCATGGCCGGTCCCACTGTTGATATCATGAGGCGGGGAGCTTGGCGTCCTCCTGCCCCTCAGTCTTCTTCGCGGTTCATCTGGACGCGATGGATCACGGGTTTCGCTTTCCGCTGCACCCGTTCTTCGTGGAGTATCTCAACTGGGTTGGGCTACTCCCTTGCCAAGTGACCCCCAATGCGCTGCAAGGATCTGGGTTTGGAGGCTACCGTTGGCCTCTTTAGGCACTTGTTTCAAATTGGGCTTAACAACTCTCTGGAGAATCAGGGTTACGCCCTTATCTCCCAACGGTCCGGCGGAGTGGGTTCTAGCACACCCCGTCGTCTCACCATGGGTGGAAGCACAGGTTTGTGTTTGTCTGCACCGACAGGAAGGGGGGATCTCATTTCACTGCCCCAGGATCCCTGTCGTTCAACATGCATGATGTTGGTGCGCTGGGTGAATTTGCTGATGATGTGGGCACCTATGTTGGGTATGGTGACTTGGGCATCACAACTTTCCTGCCCGAGGAGAAGCTGAAGGACTTGGGCTTCGTCTTTTATACCGAGGTTCCTGATGAAGACCAAGGGGCTGCTGTTGGTGCCAAGCCCCAAGGTCGGGATCAGGTTGGCGCCCAGGAAGAGGCTGACATTGCTGCAGCTATCATCGCGTCCCTGGCCACGGGACAGGTCTCGGTTGATGGTCCCACTGCTTCTGATGTGATGGGCCCCAGTCCTCGGGTGAGGAGAGGGCATTTGCCCATATGTCCCCTCCCCAGCCTGAGTCCTCAGAGGAAGAGAAGCCTGCGTTGGAGAGGAAGAAACCCTCGGGGAAGGTGTTCGCTCCTGGGTTTGCCAGTTCTAAAGGGATGGCAGATCCTGCCAAGGTTGAAGTTGAGCCTGCCAAGAAAATGGCAGATCTGGCAAAGGTTGATTTGGCTTCCTCTGCTCAACCTGCTATTACTTCGTCAGGTATGATTTCCTTTGATTATGAATTGGTATCTCAATTTTTGTGTTATGCTTTCGTTGTTGTTTACTGTACTGGTTTCGCCGTTGCAGGCAGTGCCAGCCTGTTTGACCTCCTTGACCGTGCTCAGGAGGGTGGGAAGAAAACTCAGCCCTCAGCTGGTGTTAAGTACGCTGACCGATCGCCCAGTGGCTCCTCCTCCTCTTCCGAGAGCTTAGAGGATGGAGGTAATGATGATGTTGTTGGTGTTGCTAGTGGGGGGGTGCCCGGCCAACTGATGCCGCGGCACAAGAAGAAAACACTGCAGTGCCCGCGCAAGTCGTGGCGAATGCCAGCACTGCCTCTCCACCGGACGTGGTCATTGAGGATGCCACGGATGAGGATGATGATGAAGATGATAAGGAGACTGTTCAACAGCTCCGAAGCCGCTTGGGCTTAGATGCCCAAGGGCACATCAGTGCTACTCCGGCCGGTGGCCGAAAAAACATTCGGTGGCCAAGGGGAGTGGACCACCACATGATTCTGCTGGTGGGTGGAAAAGGCATAGGTTCCAGTTCTCTTTCAGGGACGACCAGGACTTTGTCTCCGAGAACGCTGGGCCATGGACCTGCTGGCCCGTCTACGGTTGCCCTGTGACACTAGGGTCATGGGGGAGATGGACACCCCAAGTATCGCTGAGGAGCTTGCTTCCAGTGCACTCAAGGTTTGCTCCATTTTCCATTCCCTTTTATGCATTTGTTTTGTCCTCCTTTCTGTGTTTTTTTTGTAGTCATATTTTCCCGCATTGCAGGCAGTCGTCCTGGGTTACGAAGTGGCCCTTAGGACAGATGACGCTGAGCTCCGGTCAAGAGTGGTTACCGGGAAGCAGGCGAATCTCCAGGGTAGTCTGTGGGCAGCGCAACAAGCCCTGGAGACTTCTGAAAAGCAGATGAAGAGTTCCGGGGGAGGGCTCAAGATGTTGAGATTCAGCTGGGGGAATGCCAATCCCAGTTTGAGGCCCTCAAGGATACTGCCAATAAGGCTGTGCTGGCGCAGAGCGAGGTAGAGGCCCAGGTCCAGCGTGCAGAGGAGCGGGCCCGGGCTGCTGAGGACAAGGCCACGGCGGCCATTGAAAAGGCCAAAATCAGCTTGGCTGAGTGGCAGAGGATGATAGATGTTTCCAATCTGGCGATGAAGGAGAGAGACCGCCTTCGCAACTCATTGGCCGATGTTGAAAATGAGCTATGCGCCGTGAAGATCCAGTGTTCCTCCTTAAATGATCAGCTCACGGTGGTCACCTGTGAGCGAGGTGAATGGGAAGCGGCACATGACAAGGTGGCCCTTTAAATGAATGAAGCCCGCTCTCAAATCATCAAGCAAGGGCGGGCCCTGGAACGGCTTAAGGGACAAGCTGAGGAGGCAAACCTTGCCAAAGCCCGGGTTTCTGAGCTCGAGGTTGATCTTGCATCCAGGGGCGTTGATCTGGATAACCTGAGGGATGAGCTTGCAGAAAC